TGAATTCTTAGGACTTGTCATTGTACTGTTACCATCGTCGCGGTAGTGAGGGCACAGTTTGTGATTCATGTGAGTTGTATTGCTCATTTTTGGTGTGAGAGAAGACCAGCAACCCAACCCTGAGACTTGGAGTGGTAAACCATAGAAAGTTTCAATAGGTTGGACGTGGTAGGGTCTGAAGAATATAATGAACTCTTCGGGGATTTATGTCTGCTGCGTATCACAGACACGAATCCAAGATCCTAGTACTATCAATCGTTTTAGTTCGCCAAAATAATCCTCAAGGTATTTCCTCCGCGCATTAGGCGACGACAAATCCCCTTCACTAGGTCAATGTGGAGTAGGCATTGTACTCAGTAGTTAAGCCGAACCATAATTATTCGATTGGATCCCGTCAACAGTCGTATATATGCGATGCGGCCCCACCGGTCTATCAGCGTTCGCAAGGGCAGCAACACCAAAAGCTGTTTGTTCATCATCTCAACGTATGCACACACTGACTGCAAATATGCGAGCTACGACAATTTCGCGCCAGGCATGAAAGTGTTTTCCTTTGTTTATCAATGTGTTTTTCCTATCACACTTTATTGTTCGCCCGTTATTTTCCCTGGTCTACTTAGAAAGGACTTCAAAACTCTACATCGCGGTTTAGTGATTGTCAGCCGTGTTTCTTTTATTACCTTAAACACGGATCACAAAATTATGTAATTTGCATATCACTTCATGTGAGAACTTCGCTTAAAGATACTCAATGACCCCAGTCATCCACTCATTCCCGATTTATCTGCTTGCCATTCCCACGCTTCAACCCCGGTCCAATTTTCGCTGCTTGCCCTCCCGCATAAACATTTACCGCAACTCAACGGTTCCCTATTAGGCTAGTATTCTCACTGACACGGTGAGGATCCGTAACGAACTAATTTTAAACTTACAAAGATGAACACCTATTTAATTTTTATCATTGTTGTATATTATTTTCATTTCATTTTTATCCCATTGTAACGGTGAACACACTTCTGACTGAAATGTGGGCATAATCGCCTGCACAAGTCATCTATAATACAATAATACAATACGGATCTGACGCACAAAAAGACGGGTTCTAGGACAAACCCATTCTTCTGAGACGATGCTCCGATATAGTTGTGCTTGCAGGGAATTTTAACCAGATGGTCAGGAATCATCTGAAGTTGACTGCTTCTCTTACTCGGATAACTGTGTAACCAACGGCGATAGGACATCAAAGGAGATAACTGCCCGCATTCTCAAGGCGTACACAGGACTGAATCACCTGTGGCGACGACGTGACCTATACTCCGCTACTGTCTTCGAATGGACGTATCAGATTGCCTTTCAGCTCGTTCATCAGTCGGAGGACTCATTGAACACTGAACGACAGTCAAAGAAGCGATCCAAGCGTCGATCAATGAAACGACCTATCGGGGCCTAATGTGGTTCGCCACTCCAAGTTCCGGGGCTAAGGTTGCCGATTTCAACCACTTAACAGCAGGTCCTCGTGACTATGGGGTTTACCCCCTCTGCTGTTTATCACACCTAGGTGTGTAATAAAAAAAATCGACCAATTCTGGCGCACGGTCAAGTAAAAAAATGATGAATCTCCCCGACCTCGTTAGTCTTTCTGGAAGCGCAGAAAGCCATTCCTTCGGATTCAAGGGATAACAAAGCGCGCAAACCCCTAAACGCCAGTTCATCAAGAGTCTGAGGAATGGCCGCAAGAAGTGATGGGTGGGGACGTGTAGAGAGATGGATAAGGCTGCGGTTGTCGGTAATTGTCGCAATCGTTTTCTATTAGTTAGGAGTAGCGGTTACACGGAAAGTGGGCGTAAGTGAAGCAATTAAGGAGTGTGACGGCACACTGATTCATGTTCAGCAACACCGTCCTGAACGTTGGGCAGAACATTTTAAGGCACGGTTCAGCTGCCCCCCCCCCTCGACACAAGCCCTACTCCTACCCGGTTCAACTGTGCAAATACGGTCAGTCGACATCAGCCCTCTATCTAAAATGGAGGTTACTCGAGAAATAAATTATCTCCAAAGGTATAAGACTTTGGGCCCCGACGGGCTGTCCTCGTCGGTTTTTAAGGATAAAAATTCAACCTTGGTTTCGGAGTTAACGAATCTCCTGGGCTCAGTGTGAATGGTGTAAATCGGTGATCATACCGATTTACAAGAAAGGTGACAGATCCTCTTGTGAAAACTCCAGAGGGATTAGTTTAATCAGTATTGCCTCTAAACTTCTCGTTGGGATCATACTCCGTCGATTGTCTGCCGCACGTGAACGGTGCACACATAAGAACCAAGCTGGTTTTAGACTTGGAAGAGACTGCATCGACCACATCTTCACTGTTCGCGAAACTCTGGAGCACCGACATTCCTTTCGAAGACCCACCATTTGTATCTTCCTCGATCTGAAAGCGGTTTTCGACTCAGTCGACCGGTCTAAACTCTGGAGCTGCCTTTCTCTGAAAGGTGTGCCCGAGAAGTTCTTTTCAATCTTACAATCCCT